TGAAAATAAAAAGAAAAAATGAGTTTTATTTCTAAGAAGGAAAATAAATTCAAACCCTCATTTATCTGTACTAAATTTTTCACACAGAGGGAGAATGTTGTTGCCAAGGAGACCAAAGCAACTGTTGAGCCGCAAATTCAGCTCTTTAAAAAAAATCCATGACATTTATTCTGCAATTACATCCTACTCAGTTTTTACAAAAGCCAATAAAATAGTTTTAATGAAGTCCTTGAAACCTGGTGTATGATGTCACTAACATTTACTAAATATTCAAGTTCTTGAGTCTAAGTGTAGTGATAAGACAACTAGAGTCAGGGCACCTGGGTGGCTCAGTGGGTTAAGCGTCCGACTTTGGCTCAGGTCATGATCTCACGGTTCATGGGTTTGAGCCCCGCTTCGGGCTCTGTGCTGACAGCCAGCTCAGAGCCTGGAGCCTATTTCAGATTCTGTATCTCCCTCTCTCTCTGACCCTCCCCTGGTCATGCTGTCTCCCTCTCTCAGAAATAAATAAAACATTAAAAAAAAAAATTTTTTTTTTTAAAGAAAACTAGAGTAAAGGTCAGATGATCTACTCTCAACTCTATGGCTGAAAAGCCATACATCCTTAAGTCATTTACCTTTTATGAAACTAAGTTTCTTTACTTGTAAAAATGGGGAAAACTACTATCTAGCTTGCCTACAATGCAGGATCTAGGCTTCCAGGCCAGCTTAAAGACCAAATCAAGTATTAGAAAAATGTGAACCAAAAAAAGTATAAATCCATAAAAACTGGATGAACTAAGTGGCAGATCCAACCTCTGGTCCAGGCTCTACCCAAACTGGATAACTTTCACAACTTCTTTATGTCTCTATACAATGAAATTAGACTAGACTACCTTTGTAGAGGTGCTTCTTGGGTGTCTTTTCCATCACATGATGATGATTAAAAGGAAATTCATTCACCTCTATTTTACTGGGCTATATTTTGCTTGCAAAGGTTTCACTGCTAGATATCTGAAAATCTCTGGCTTAGACTGAAGTCTTTTATTTCTATTTTCAGGCATTTCATAACCCTAACCTAACCTAATCTAACCCATCTTTACATTCTATTCTTTCTCAGCATACACTTACATTTTGAGACCAGAGTAGTCTACTATTTCTCAAATTGCCTTGGCCAAGCTCTGCCTGCACATTTTGTCAATATACAGTTGTGGCTGCTCCAACTTGCTGAACAGTGCTGCCCTGTGTCCTGATGCACTCCCCGCCCACACATTCAGACACCCAAACTTGAGCAGTACTCAATATTTTGACTGTAACTGCTTTCAAAAAGTTAAAATTTACAGTAGATTAGTATCAGGTGATAGTTGTCATGTTAAAGAGAACCTGGCTTCTAGGCCAGCTAAGATTTGTCTGTAATTTGATAGGATGTAAGAAAACACTGAAAGAAAGAAGTAGGAAGAAAGCGGGAGCTTTAGTCAGCCCCATAGAAAGGAGTGAGCACTATAGGAGAGTCATCTGTGCACCACCTGGAAGAAGAACACCTTGATCCATGGACTTGGGTTCCAGTGGTAAGAGAGTCCCATCATAGAAATGGATGCATTTACCTACTACAGGCCAATGCTGTTAAACATTCAGGCATATATCTGAATCCTTTTGATTTGAATTCATCATCTTTAACTTCCATATGGTGCATCTAGAAAATATCTTGACTAGAGACACATCCACTTATTTTATATCTGATCCATAAATTAATACAGCTGCATTGTGAATTCAGACATCAGGTTCAGTTTCTTGAGTCGGGTGAACCCATACCAAGACAAGACAGCCTATCAAATTAGTCTGACAGCACAGAAACTGAGGGTCAGATCCCAGACTATGGTAAATTTACCAAAAGAGTGCCACCCCAGAGAAACTATGTGAGGTACCCCAGACTACTCCAGTAAAAACCCTGTCTAGTTGCATTATTTTCCTTTTAACACTTACCCACACTTTTGTTTATTCAAGGCCAATAAACACATACTAAAGCTTTTCTATGACCTCTACATACCTTTCCAATAATTTCTCTCTATGTACCCTCTATGTACTCTCTACGCGCAACGGAAACAAATGTTCTAAGCACACAGTTTCTCTCTCTGCTTGCAATAGTCCTCCTCCCTATGTTGAGAAATCTAAATTCTATCTAATTCTGAAAGTTCAACACAAATAACACTTTTTTTCATGAAGATTTTTCTAAGTACACCATGCTAACAAGTACACCATCAAGGCTAAGACGAGCAATTTTGTTGATCTAGGCAAGCAGAGTCATTGAGAATCAGCCACATTTGATAGGTTTCCTTTTTCACTAAATAGATAATAATCAGGTATTAAACTCAGTTTCTCTTCTAAAGGACTATGCTGTCAGTGCGTAATGTAATAAATGCTATAAGTTTGATGTATTATTTTATATTTCTGCACTCTCAATTTCAGTGCCCTGGGATATAGCCTAGGTTACCCACTATCAATCTGTAGCAAGTACACATTTGTTTACCAATTAAAAGTATTCTTTCCCATTATGAGGGGGGTCAGTTAAGTAACTGTTTATTATTTTTATTAAATAATTATTTAAATTACTTGGATCTATCCTTCAGTTAAAGGCACTTATTACTTGTTCCCTTTGTGAGATTTTGTTTTATTTTCCCTTCTATGTTGTTTGAAGATATGATCCACATCTATTTCATCTTTGTATCCCCCACAAGGTTTTAGCTAGTATCTTACACAGGGAGGGCACTTTAAATATAATTTAAGACTTTCTCTTCCATTTTCAGTCAAGGCTCCCCTCAGTCTTTTTATATTTATCCTGGTTTTATAAAGTCGTCTTTGATCATCCCACTCCACAGGTCACTCTTACTTTTGTTCCAATAAGGCCTGCCTACAAAACATATAATTGCCAGCAATACTACCCTAGTGTTATCTTTTTCTGTGTATATGCATTTTATAGTCTTTTTAGATTTCAGTATTTCCCAATAATATCTAGGCACAGCATAAACAATTAATGCATATTGATTCATTCAGCCAATCTTTAAAAAAAAAAAAACAATCAATAAACTCATTAGGAAAAGTATACTCAAAACTGGCACCTAAAGAGAACAAAAGACTCATCCATGGCAATGAAAACAAATTCCTATAGTTGGGGTCAAAAGCCTTGACATATTTAGTAGTTGCTAGTAAGCTAAATTCTGTTGGAATTCTACAAGTGTTTTCAAGTTTCATGAGTCTTCCTTTCTCTTTAAGGACACAAAAATGCCCAACCACATTCATTTCCTAAAAATATCAATGAAAGCAGATGTCTTTAAACAAAAACAATTAACTATATTAAACATACAGTTATCATTCATTTGTAATTTGGTTAGGTTTCCCTGCTGAAGACATTTATATAGTCGGTTTGTAGTACATTTGATTTTAAGCCTTGGCTCTTATGCTAAACCCACTTCTGGCAAATGGCTTTAAAGTTATTTGCATTTTACACATCCTTATAGTAATTAATGGGATATCACATATTCTGCACACTTGACTTAAAAATATACCTATATGGTCAAATTCTATAATAAGGGAATTATTTCTTTAATTTGATATTTGAATCAGAACACTCTAGAGCCTTCCTGCTCCAAGTGTGGTCCACAGACCAGCAGGATTGGTATCACCTGAAAGCTCATTTCTGAGGCCGAATCTCAGACCCTACCCCAGGCCTACTAAATGGAAATCTGCATTTTAGATTCCCAGGTGATCTGTAAACACTTTAAGGTTTGAGAAGCACTGGTTTAGACTCTAGAGGAAGAACATAATGTCTAAGATGCACACAATCAAGTAACCATAACTAATTGTAATTGCTTATTTGTTGGTCTTACCTGCTTAATGAAGGCTTGTTGAGGGCAGAACCCTTTCTATTTCCTCAGGACTACTATTCATTCCCTGGCCCTAACACGCTCTGAAAACATTACCCAATACACAATACGTATTTTTTGCTAAATGCATGAATGACTGAGCAAAGTAAAAATAAAACTTTTTCAGAAAGTGAATCCTTTAGGGAATTCTTTTGTACAACACAATTTCATATACTACCATACTAATTCCCTAATTCAGTATTATGAATTCCATTTCAAATACATTGGGTTCTCTACTTCAACAAATGCACTTAATGCACTTGACAAAGCAAAAGCTTAGATCATCTTCCTTTGTTGGAGTCACCAGTGGCCTCTTTTACAAGTGAGAGAGCTGCATTTTAACTCTGGCTCTCACAGATCCATCCCATATGCCTGGACAAGATGAAGTCACCCCAACAACTTGGAACGGGTGGCGGGCGTAAAGGAGGAAAAGGGATGAGTTAAGCAAAAACAATTCCGTATCAGGAGCATCATATGAAACCTGGAAAACATGATTCTTTGAACAGAATACTTCCAGAAAATAACTCCCGGCAAGAGAAATAAAGAGGTAAGAAAACTCTTCCTTTTCAAGAGCAAAAGGTAGATAACTAGAGAATACCACTAGCGACAACCTAGCGACGCAAGGTGGAAACACACCAGACCAGAAGTAAAGCAGAGAGCGGTTACAGACATCTCAAAAGGGTACCAAAAGCCACTTTCAGGTTTGCAGAGAAGGAAGTCAAAGGAGAAGAAAGAGGAAAGGAAATAGTGCTAGGAAGAGTAGAACTTACGACATGATAATGATAAAATAACAATAATAATAATTTTTTTAAAGAGACGACATGCACTTGAAAGGCGGGGCTGTGGGTGAGAAAGAGAGGCTGCAATTCCGCGAACTGCAAAAGGAAGTGACCACAGGTAGCTCCGCTCAGATGGTCCCGGAGAGGCGGCCCAGGCAGGCATAGGTGGGTGGCAACGCCCGGCTCCGCTGGCCCCCGCCCCAGGGCGGGAGCCATCTCCTCTGCAGCCTGCTGAGCACCGGGTGCGGACGGGAAAGGACAGACTGTGTATGGGAGGGCGCGCGGGGGGACAGGGCTGATGCCAGGCTGAACAGGTACCCACCTTATCCCAACGGAGCCACTGCCCGATGGCCGTGTCTAGCTGAGGATCCCCGGTGTGGTAGGGGGCGTGGAGCAGGTTGGAGTTCAGGTCTCCTTCTGCGTTTTCAGCCATGGCAGCCGGACTGGGGCGTGAGGGCGTGGGGGGGGGGGGGGCGGCGAAGACACTGAGTTGGGGGCCGGAGGCTGAGATGCGCTCACCAGGGTTCTGACGCCCCCTCCTCACTGAAGGGCATCGGAGACCGACCGCAGGGTGTCTGAACCAGCGCCTGCCGCAGCTCTGGGAAAGCAGGAGAGAGAGGCGATGCGGCCACCCGCTCCCTTCTAGACCAGCTCCGGGTCTCCTTCTGGGCGAACGGACTGAGGCGGTCCCGCCGCGAGAGAACAACAACAGTCCCAGATGTCTGGGTCTCGGCTGCCGCCGCCGCCGCCACCGCCACCGCCCTCGGCGCTCTATGCCCCGCCTCCTGGCCCCGCCCCTTCCCGCCCCTGCTGATTTAAGTCCCTGGGGCTTGAGGCACCAGCAGAGCGTACGATACTGCTGCCTCCGCAGTAAGAGAAGCTGGGATCCGCTGGGGTGTGACGGGTTGGGGCGCGGCTTTTTTTTTTTTTAATTTGTTTTTTGCCACGCGCCTTTTCCTTGTTACAGTCCCCACACACTCCCACGCGTCTCCTTTTTCTCTATCTGCTGCCCAGGCCGCTACCAGCACGCTGCTTCGGCGCTTGCTCCGCGGACCCCGGCGCGCGTGCAGGTCCCCCTGCCTCAGCTTGAGGCACGCGCTAGGCGGGAGGGTACACGGGCCTGTTTCCGCACGGCCTCACGGGAGTTGTAGTAATTTTCTGTCCTCGACATCTGTAGAGACCGCCGCAAAGACTACAACTCCCAGCGGCTGCCCGCTTTCCCTTTCATCAAAGGAAAAAGATCTGCCTTGAAGCTATTCCTTACGGACGCGCCCTATCCTTGCATTGCTGCGTAACGTGGCCCTAGAATTAAATTATTTTAAGCCAGGACTGATGCAGTAAGGGGAGCATTGGTATCCATTTAATGCTTTACAGTCTAGCAATCGTGTTTTATCGCTTCAACCGTCTTGTGAGGTAGGTGGGCGTGATCTAGCCCTAATTTACAAACAAAGAGGAAACCGCCTGTGCCTATGAAGGGGGTTTTTCAAAAAGGCAGAATTCCTAAGTGTTGGAACCAACCTCGTTTCACATCTCAGCTGGCCGTTCTGCTGCTGCAGTGGGGTGGGAGGGAGAACAAGATGACTGAAAAAATAGACAAAGAAGTTAAGGAGGGAAGATGGGTCAGCATTTAACCATAACACAAGCAACCATGTCCAGGCGTCAAAAGAGAGGTAAAAAGCAATGACAATAGGCATACGGAGGAGGAAAGGAGATTATTGGAATAAATTTCAGGGTGTTGTTTTTGTTTTGTTTTGTTTTTCTTTTTTGCCTCTCTGCTATGGAAAGCTCACCTTGCAAAGTCACACAACTTGAGGTCTGGGAGATGCTGAGCAGGGATTACCTGTCAGACACTCAGTTTCTTGGTTTGGCCTTCTTATGATGGCTCTATGATTTTGGCCGAGTATCTTACAGCTTTTTTGTAAAGAGGGTGTAATAATATTTTACACCATGGCTCTACAGTAACTTAATAAATGGCTTTAGAATGCTTAAAGGTTCACAGATAAAAGACATAATAAATTCAAAATACTTATTTTCTTTCCTTTAACAAGCCATTTACCATAATAAAATCCAAGCTACCAAGGTACAGAAAGATCATAGTGCCAATTCCTGAAAAATAATGTGCCATGGTTGGGATTTACAGTCTTTGCTAAGAAGTTGGGTGTTTCTTTTATGGAATTAGCAGCTTCTTTTAATCACAGAAGGCCTGGGAAACAATGACATGTCCTGAAAAGAAATTAATGGTTCACTGTCATCACCATTATTGTTCATGACAAATGCTAATTAGGTATTTACACTATGCTAAGCATCATGCTAAGAGGTGAGGTTACAATAAAGTATATAACAGGGGCCACCTGGGTGGCTCAGTTAAGCATCTGCCTTCAGCTCAGAGGTCATGATGTCGCAGTTCTTAAGTGAGAGTCCCACGTCGGGCTCTGTGCTGACAGCTAGCTGAGAGCCTGGAGCCTGTTTCGGATTCTGTGTCTCCCTCTCTCTCTGACCCTCCCCTGCTCATGCTGTCTCTCTTTCTCAGAAATAAATAAAACATTAAAAAAAGAAAAAGTATATAACAAAACTGTATTTCCCCAAAAAAAGTATCTGGGGAGACAGGATATATGTGAGAAAAGATAGCCCATGATAAACAGCAAATGCTTGCTTCAGAAAACTGTCAAAGAATTCAGAGCCTGAGGTGGTCAATAAAAGCAACAAGCAGCAGGAGGGACAAGCACTGGGCTTTAAAGGACAAAAGAATTAATAAGTAGAGAAAAAAGTAGAAGGCATTTGAAACCCATAAATCATTGGTTCTCAAATCTCCCTAGGAGTTCATTTAAAATGTATATTCCTCGGGTACCTGGGTGTCTCAGTCTGTTAAGCATCCATGTCTTGATTGTAGCTCAGGTCAGGATCCCAGGATCGTGGAATTGAGCTCGGCATCAGGCTCCATTCTCAGCGTGGAGCCTGCTTTATACTCTCTCTCTCTCTCTCTCTCTCTCTCTCTCTCACTCCCTCCCCTCTCCCCCAAATACTTGCTCTCTCTCTCTCTAAAATAAAAATTTTTTTTAAAAAGTGTATTACTGGTCACTGCCCCAGAGATTCTGATTCAGTACTTTGGAATTAGGGCCTAGTACCTACATATTTAACAAATATGTATTGATTGTGACATAAATGGCCATAATCTTGCTACACAGAGTTTGATAGAAGGACTAATGAATTGGTGTCCTCTGGGAACTTATTAAGAAATACAAAATTTCAGGCCCCATACCAATTCTACTGAATCAAAATCTATATTTTAATAGGATCCAATGATGATTTATATGCATATTAAATTTGATAAGCAGTGGTTTTTATAAGACAATTCTTAAATTTAATTCAATTCTGAGAAACAGTTCTAAATCAACAGAACTTCCAAGAAATGGAATTATATAAGGCAAGTATAAAAGAGTAGAGAAATCCAAGTTTTAATTCAATGCCAGAGTCAACCAGCCCTCAATTTTATCAGCAAGATCATGACATAAACTGGTTACCAGAAACCTTACCAGTATCTTTGGCTTATTGCTTAGGAATTGAGGTGTAACCAGAGACCTAGAACTCATCAAATCAAAGAATAGTGGTGTATAAGTGAGAAAGTTCAGAAGCTTTAATTTCTGTTGGAATTTACCCAGGGTTCTACTTTTTCAAGTCTTTATTTGAATTTCAGTTAACATACAGTGTAATATTAGTTTCAGGCGTGCAATATAGTGATTCAACACTTCCGTACATCACCTTGTGTTCATCACAAGTGCACTCCTTAATCCCCATCATGCATTTAACCTATCCTCCCACACACTTCCCTTCTGGTAAACCTTCGGGTTTGTTCTTTATAATTAAGAATCTGTTTCTTATGGAAACCAACTTGACAATAAACTATTTTAAAAAATATTTAAAAAATAAAAATAGATAATTCCCCTTCCCCAAAAAGAATCTGTTTCTTGGTTTGTCCCCCCACCCCGCCTTTGCCCCTTTGCTCATTTGTTTGGTTTCTTAAATCCCACATATGAGTGAAATCATATGGTATTTGTTTTTCTCTGACTGATTTTGCTTAGCATAATACTCTGCAGCACCATCTACGTTGTTACAAATGACAGCATTTTGTTCTTTTTTATGGGAATTTGCCCAGAGTTCTGTATTTTTATTTGCTAAATCTGGGAACCCTAACTGTGGTGGTCATGAAAGGGAATATCTCTCTTGGTCCTGATATATATGTGACCTAGTATTTTAACGTCGTGACATAAAAAAATAACCAAAAAAAAATAAAAAAAAAAAAAGTGTGTGTGTATATACACACAGATATATGTATATATATGTATAAACACACATATACATATTTACATGTATATTTAGATAAATATAGTTAGATAAATATAAATCAAATGTGAAATTTTAACAATAGGTGAATTTGGGTAAAGGATAGATGGATAATCTTTGTACTATTTTAATTTTTGCAACTTCATTTGAAATTATTTCTAGATTAAAAAGTTTAAAAGAAAAACCTCAGGGTGCCTGGGTGGCTCAGTCAGTTAAGCGTTCAACCTCAGCTCAGGTCATGATTTCGTGGTTCATGAGTTCGAGCCCAAGTCGGGCTCTGTGCTGACAACTGGGAGCCTGGAGCCAGCTTCAGATTCTGTCTCCATCTCTTTTTGCCCCTCCCCCACTCACACTCTGTCTCTCTCTCTCTCTCTCTCTCTCTCTCGTTTAAGAAATATCCATTTATTTATTGTTTTTAAAATTCTAATTAAGAAATTCAAACCTCTCATTCTGTCAGGGTAGCAAGAAATAAAGTTTTAATCAATAGCAGCCCCCCACCCCCCCAGGCTTTATCATATGGTACTGGGGAAACAGAAAGAGTCAATAGTTGTAGTTCATCGAGGTTTCTGCTAACAGCTGTATTGTCCAGGATCATACTGGTCTCTGGAAGTCTGACAGCTTTCTCCTCGCAAAGCATTCATAAGCTGTGGCCAGGAAACCTGGTTAAGACTACAGACCCCAAAGCCTCCATCTAGGTATACCATGTAGCCATCACCTCTAAAATCTTGCCAATTCCTTAAAGTACTGCCGCCAAGTAGACTCAGGACTCTCTCTCCTCACTCTCCTAAGACTTTCAATCTTGAGAAAATCTATCATTCTGCTGTGTGATTTTTCTGAAAAGGGAAGTATTGTTCACAAAGATAGTTGAAATAAACTCTAGTGAACTCTGTATTAAAAAAAAAAGTCAAGAAGCAATTTGCTACTTTTAGCCTATTACATAAAACTCCCAAGGGGATACGGCAATAACAAATAAAAAGTGATTATCTTTGTGTTGGGGGGAAGGATGTAGAGCACACCTGAGATTCGAGTTAAGCAAAACAACCTAGGGTGCAAGATCTAAGGAGGTGATCCTTTTCAGATTTGTGAAAGTGCAGGATTGGTGCCCGAGAACGAGAGCCTGATTATATTTTTTAAACAGCTTTATTAAGATATCATTCATATGCTAAACAATTCACTCACTTAAAGTGTACAATTCCATGTTTTTTGTTATATTCACAGCTATGCACAAACATCTCCACAGTCAATTTTAGAACATTTTCATTACCTCAAAAAGAAACCTCATGCCCTTTAGCTATCAGCCTCCTATTGCCCAATCTCCCAACCCAGACCTAAGCAACCACTAATCTGCTTTATATCTTTGTAGATTTCCCTGTTCTGAACATTTCATACAAATGGAATCATATATAGGGGCGCC